CCAGAACAACCCTCGTGTCATCGGCCTCGACGGCGACACCAAGAACTCCACCTACTCGGAGAAAATCAAGAAGGTGCGGACTTTTCTATAGTTATTGGCCTTACGGATGTTACGAGTTCTTGTGATAGCTCTGAATGCTGGTTTGTCAACTGGATACAGTTCTTAGTTCTTACACTATCGACGTTACGGCATGAACTCAACCTAAGCTTGGGACGTGGCACTCATAAATGATTATGAACACCTTCCAGTAGTAAGATGGTGTCTGATGTAATACGAACGGCTCCGGTTGCCATATCATGATGCATGACATTTCCCATCAGGACGGACTACTATCCTCACTCTGCCCCAGTCCCCATTTACACTGACTTCCACCCATATTTCCCCTTCCATAGGCCGCGCTAACACTTTCCCGTTCCTACCATAAGATGCACTGACACTCCTTTCTACCATCCATAGGCGCATCCGGAGAACTACATTGAGTGCTTCATCGCCGAGCAGAACCTCGTGAGCGTGGCCATCGGCGCTGGCTGCCGTAACCGCACCATTCCGTTCGTCTCGACGTTCGCGGCGTTCTTCACCCGCGCGTTCGACCAGCTGCGTATGGGTGCCATCTCTCAGACCAACATCACCTGCGCCGGCAGCCACTGTGGCGTCAGCATCGGTCAGTGGAAGCTCAGGGAGGAAGGAGGGGAGGGGTGGCTGGGGGTGGGGTGGCGCCGGCAGTCATTGTGGCGTCAGCATCGGTCAGTGGAAGCTCAGGGAGGAAGGAGGGGAGGGGTGGCTGGGGGTGGGGTGGCGCCGGCAGTCATTGTGGCGTCAGCATCGGTCAGTGGAAGCTCAGGGAGGAAGGAGGGGAGGGGTGGCTGGGGGTGGGGTGGCGCCGGCAGTCACTGTGGCGTCAGCATCGGTCAGTGGAAGCTCAGGGAGGAAGGAGGGGAGGGGTGGCTGGGGGTGGGGTGGCGCCGGCAGTCACTGTGGCGTCAGCATCGGTCAGTGGAAGCTCAGGGAGGAAGGGAGGGTCATGGGGGGGGGGGGCGCCGGCAGTCACTGTGGCGTCAGCATCGGTCTGTGGAAGCGCTGGGAGGAAGGGAGGGGTGGCTGGGAGTGGTGGGCTCAACTCTGAGCGAGGGGCTGGTTTCGAGTTCAGGTGTGATATTTGACTGGTTTGGTTTCAGGTGGGATGCTTGGCGGCGTATTTGACTATGATTTCTTTGACGTTCGGGATGTAAATGGTACCCTGGCTGTTTTTGTGATACCTGATGATTTTCTAGAAATTGAATCATGTAAATGTAAGACTTACGGTAAAACGAACTGTAAGCATAGTTATCAGATCGTCCATCGCTATTGATAAAACGAGTCACCGTTTGTTCCCTTGAAACGACTCGCAGCAGCTGCCCCGTTCCACTGTTATCCCTCTGAACCCCCCCCCCCTCTCTCCTCTCCAGGCGAGGACGGTCCGAGCCAGATGGCGCTCGAGGACCTGGCCATGTTCCGCGCCATTCCCGGCTCCACCGTATTCTACCCGAGCGACGCCGTGAGCTGTGAGCGCGCCTGCGAGCTGGCCGCCACTTGTCCGGGCATCTGTTTCATCCGCACCTCTCGGCCGGCCACCCCGGTCATCTACGAAAACGGCGAGAGCATGCAGATCGGCCAGGCCAAGGTGGTCAAACAGTCCGGCAACGACCAGGTGAGACACTAATCGCGGGTGGGGGGGGGGGGGGGGAGGGCAAGGAAGGGGGATGCGGGCTGTATGGGGTCTAGGCTGGGACTGGGCAATTATCAGAAGGTATTACTCAACATGCTAAGAAGAAAGAAATACGTTAAGTTAAGATAGGCTGTTAATGTGGATTTAGTAAATCAATCGAAATTATTCACTGAGGTAGTAACTCTGGGCGTATAATTAAAAAAGTGCCTTTTGATGTGATGCACATCTTGGAAATTGTATTCAACATGCCAACATGCCCAATCACAGCTGTATTCAGCAATGTAATCACAGCTTGCCATATCTGAGCGGCGTGTAACCCCATTGGCCGGCTGTAGTCCGCTCACAGACGTGTCTCTGACATTACTGACTGAACAGGCAGCCCCGCGGCCCGGTCTGGGGTCCATCTGACCGCCAATCACACAGCCATGGCTGACCGCTGGCCCTGCCTAGTGGGGTCCGGCCGAACTCTGAGTAGGTGCCGGCTCTGGCCGTGCCTGCTGTGTGTGTGTGCGTGTTCTTTTGTTCTGATTTAGTGTTTGGCAGCTAGACGACAGGCGTGCAGCTGCTGTGAGCTGATGATACTGACTGGTTTGCCCTAACACGCGTGGACGGCTGACGAGTGATGTGAAGCGTTTCCCGTATGTACGACTACTCATACCCAATGACCACCGCCAGCATAGTTGTCGAGGACATGAGGTTGACAGTGCATTGCTCACGAATAGGGCCGATTTAGAACCAAACTAACTCGACGCTATGATCTACCGCATGCATATTCGTTGAAGAATTCAGTGAATGTGAATTGGAATCCTCATTCCCCCAGATTGTGCTTGAAAAGTTATTGCAAGTTTTATACCCAGCCTGTCTGGCTTTTAGCCTACTACCAAACTAGAGCTGGACTTCGAGCCAAAGCTGCTCATACTAACAAATGATATGCTGATATGCGACATTTTGATCAGTGATATGTCTTATTCTGCATTTGTGCACGATTTTGAATGAACCTTGGAAGGGCAGTGAATGTGTAAAATGCAATTCCCATCCAGTATTTTAATCTGAAAACTACATCAAAACAGCAGCGCTGTTAAAAATTATTGCTACCACTTTATCAATGCTCTTGATGGTAGTTGTTACTATACTTACATTGTACTGTAAGGTCACATTGTATTGTAACCTTCCCATGTAACCACTTAGATCACGGAAATTCTTACCCTAAGCTAAAAATTTCTAGTATCAATCCTTACCCCCTCCCCCACGGCCCACGGGTAATGTTCATCATCTCAAACCAGAGCTTCATATGAGAGTTATCGGACCTTCCCTGTTTCATTCTCCCTGTGACACCCCGCTGACTCCCCCCCCCCCCCCCCACAGGTGCTGGTGATCGGTGCCGGCATCACGCTGCACAATGCACTGACGGCCGCCGAGCACCTGGCCGGTATCGGTGTGCACGTGCGCGTGCTGGACCCGTTCACTGTGAAGCCGCTCGACGTGGCCACTATCCGTGATAACGCCAAACAGTGCGGCGGACGTGTGCTCACCGTGGAGGATCACTACCCGGCTGGTGAGAGGGGGGGGAGGGGGAGACAGGGGGACGAGAGAGGGGCTAGGGAGGATGGAAGGCTGGGGAAGGGAGTTGAGAGGGAGGGAGGGGGAGGGATGAAAGGAAGTACAGACTGATGGAGAATAGGGAAGTTCAAGTGACTAAAGGCAGTAAATGCTCGAGGTTGTCGCGCACTGTGAAAGTGAAGCGCACGGTGAGGTCGGCAGTAGATGGCAGGGGTCAATCCAGTTTCGTGATATCTTAAGTCATAGAGGATGTTAGCATTGTTTTACTCACGTGACCTATAAGTGTGACACGTTGTAACCTCGGGCGATAAGTGGCTTCCTCAAGTTGCTCACCTCCGTCCCCATTCGCCAGGTGGTCTGGGCGAGGCAGTCTGTTCCGCGCTCTCCCAGGAGCGCAACATCATCGTCAAGAAGCTGAACGTGGAGAAGGTGCCGCGCTCCGGACCCCCGGATGCCCTCATGGACATGTTCGGCATCTCCTCCTCCTGCATCGTCAAGGGCGTACAGGACCTAGTGAAGCTGTAAGCTGAGCCCACCCGTGCTCGACGGGCGAGACACTGCCGCTCCGCCTGGTGGAGGCCTGTCTATTAGTAGTTCGGCGTCGGCACGCCAGGCGGCGCTGCTGCGGCGGCGGCCGCCGGCTCGACTCGCATTCCGACGGCTTTGTTCCACGCGCAAACTTCCCAACATTCCTGTTAGTCCTCGTGTGATACGCTGCATTTCCCGCTCGGAGATTGTTATGTTTCGTAGGTTTTATTTCTGAATGCTTTTTCGGGACAGGAGCTTGTATCATGAAGAAATGAGATGTATGTGCCGCTCTCAGCGGCTCGTTAAATGTTGGCAGATGTATTTTGGCCTCCGTCAATACACCACTTGACACTATAAGCTGACTAGCTCTGGATGCTCTCTGTATGTGGATTAGTGAAATGCTGTATGTAGCGGAAGAATGAAGCAGAAATAAGGTTGAAAAAAATGGACCACAGGTAGCGCTTCAGCCGAGGTAGCTACTGCTCCAGGTACAATTTCTCAACACTCGTCAACTTTATGCTGAGCTGACAATGTGCGTCGTAGCCGCTTCGGCTACCACTTCTTCGCACGTCTGACACTTCCTCATGGGTAACGCCGATGTTTGCTGGGCTTCCTCTCTCGCGTGGGGACACCGTTTTCGGAATATGGACGCCGATAGCCCTCCGCCAAACTAAGCCCTCCGCCTCCGCCCCCGCCCCCCCCCCCCTCCCCTACCCAGTATCATGTGTTCGAAATATTGGTAAAGCCTAGGCTGTGCAATTGTGCATGCACAGATCGTCCCGGGCCGGTCGAATTCTGTAACGAAACTGATTGTGGAAATGGTCACGCTGGCCATTCGCGGAGTTATTGGCAGAATGGACCGATCGGGGTTCAGCTTCAGCCATACGGTGACAGCAATCGTGAAATTGAACTCGGTCATTAGTCATGTTATGTAAAACAACTCGTGTTATTTTATCCTCCGGACGTGCCGAGGTCATGAGCTCACTTACCCCTGCTCAGCTGAGTTTGACGGTCACCCTCGCAACCCCCACCCCAACTGGTTGGAAGCACCAGCTGCAGCCTGCAAATGGAGTTGCAAACCCCGTCGGAGTAAACGCTAGCGCGGCTGGGTGAGTTACACCACGTGGCAACGGCAGCCTCAGCGGCAGAAGCGCACCAACTGGCGCCTGCTATATATGGCCTTGCTGGTGGTCTCCTTGCCCCCGTCACTTATCGTTCTGCATATGCCTACACTGTAACAACAGTCCCTGGCTGCTAAAGTGGTATTGTGGACCGAAACGGCCTAGTTTGTTTCTGTGACCTGTGAATTTGAGGTCAGATGTGTGGCCTTAGCGTTATACAGCATTTTAAAACGTGCAAATGCTTTCTGGCTCTGCTTTGAATAAGTGTGCTTAAACCAAGCTTAAACCACGAGCTTCTTCCTCGGACTCATGGCTTTCTACAATTCTGTATATTTGAGATGCCTTTCAAACAGCTTAGGGTGCAGCTGATGATTGTCTGTTTCTTGAAAGGTGGAAAGTCAGGTGATTTCACTTGAGGTCATTTTTTTTTAAACAAGGCAAGAAGTTTAATGAAGCACCTTATTTATTGTCGAGTTGGCCAAGTGTTTACCCGGAATCCAGAAATCTATTGTTTTCATCCAAGCGATCCAAACAGGCAGTATGTAAACGGCAAGCAAGGCTACGTCGCTACGTGCATTGCATGATGCATCGTACCCGCATGACTCGTAGGCTGGAAGGTAATTATGCATAACGCATCATATTTCTATTAGTAGAGCTAAAATAGGCCCTTTTGTCTGTCCACCATTTTTGGAGTGTCATTTTTTTAGTTCACGAGCCAGGCCGCCGCATACATAACAACTACCTAGATAAATGTTCTTAATTTCTATGAATATTTGTGAAGTAGGTACGAGGGAATCTATACTGACACATCAATTTGGTGGCCATGGATAAATACTGCCTTGAGACATTCATTGCGCAGAAGTTTTTCTTTCCAAGGCTCTTTTTGCATATGAATTGATTACCACTAGACAGTTGTGGAGTTCAATTCGGGATTGGCACACGATAGGTAGGCATTTTACTTGTGTTTATTGGTTAAATCTGGTATTTTTGCTACTGTCATTACTATGGGAGTCGAGTTCCAATAGTTGCTTTCCATACTCCATAGAGCTGAAGCTCTGGGCTGGGGTTTCCGGTTTCAGTTCAAGTTTGGGAGGTGAAGGGTGGTGAAGGGGAATCACCGTGTTTGCCCCAAGGCTATAGAACTCCAGACCCTTGTTTCACCGCCTGACGCTGCGTGCGCTGCAGCGCGCTTGGAGCTAAGGCATACCCCTGACATTGTGTGTGATCCGTTAGCTTATGATGAATCGTGTTTGGAACAGAGGTCCTAAGGAACCAAGTACAGAGAGAACAGAGGTTTGAGTGCGGATGCTGCTAGCGGGCTGATGGTGCTGGCGCGGTATATGTCAAGTTTAGGTCCTAACTACAATTGTGACGCTGTTGGTACGAATATGAAACAACAAAAAATTTAGGTTTTAGGTTAGGTTAGGTTGTAGGTTTGTAGGTTTTAGGTTGTAGGTACCGTAAAATGGGGTGTTAAGGGACAGTTTTGAGGTGTTTTGTTATATAACTCAAGAAGGGTTGGAGATAGAAGCATCAAATTGTCAGCATTTTATGTGGAATTTGGTGTTTTACATGCCTGCCACATTAAAGTTTTTAAGATGTATACCTGCATATTATTTTTTATTATTTTTCATCACTGTCCCTTAGCACCCCAATGTGGAGTGTTAAGGGACACCTATATTATTCCAAGAAATGGTCATCAAATGCCCACAATTGGGGTGTGGAAGGGCACACAATTTATTTATTGAAATGTTTTGCATATTCTGTCACAAAACAAGTCAGGTTCATTCACCACTAATGACCTTTTTAGCCAATTACGTGTAATGCTGTTTACGCTTGTGGAAAATGTGCTAATTATAAGGCAAACAGAACCAAGAAGTAATCTTCTGTCATCAATAAAAACCCATGTTGAAGCTAGTCACTTGTCATTATGTTGCCCTCTTTGTTTTGGCCTTTTTATGATGACATCACATTTACATACATCAGTCTCCATTGACCCATCATTGTAAAAGAGAGTGTTGAGATGTTTTGTTACATAACTTAAGATGTGTTAGAGATAAAAGCATGAACTTGCCAGCATTTAATGTGGAATTTGGTGTTTTCCATGCCTACTGAAAGAAAACTTGATTAAATTATATTTAGATTTTCTTTTTTATTTTTTCTTCCCTGTCCCTTAGCACCCCACATCCACCTCAAAATATGCATGTATCCAGAAAAGAGGAAGAGGATGATGAATGAATGGGTGGATTTGCACAAGTTTTTCAGGAAACATGTGCAATACATGTGACAATACACCTATGCATTCATTTTCCCTGTACACCCACTAGTTTATGAGGTACACATAGAGTTTTGGAGATGTTTCAATTTTGTGAAAATGTAGCATGATTTTCAAATCCATTTTTGAACCAAATCACTTGCATGAAAAACCATAGCATTTTGTCCTATAGTCAAGAGCAAAACAGTGTCAACTACCACACTGAAGTTTTTATTGAACCTTCTCAAATTAGGAAGTTAATATGACTCAAAGTTTTTCCCATGCAACTGTCCCTTAACACCCCACTGTCCCTTAACACCCCATTTTACGGTAGGTAGGTTTGTAGGTTAGGTTAGGTTAGGGTAGGTTTGTAGGTTGTAGGTTGGTAGGTTATAGGTAAGTAGGTAAGGTTAGGTCAGGTTTGATTATGTTTTTTCTTTTATTTGCGAGACATATGAGTATCATTTTTGGATTCAGGATGTCAAATAATGTAAAAATATGAAAAATTATCAACGAAATCTTCTTAGGACTTAAACTTGACATTTACCGCTGGCGCTGGGGTGCTAGTGTTTTACGATGACGTCATAGCGTAGTGTTAGAGTGGAGTTTGTTGATATTGCCATGGAAATCCAATGCACCAATGCGCGCAGCGCTCTGCTGTAAAACACCGCCCGCTTGCCCCAAGAATCAGAGGCTGAAGGTGGCTGAAGGCATGAGCTTTGTTTGTTTGTTTGTTTTGTTGGGTTAGGCTCTTTCGGTCCAATTCAAATTAGACCATTTCAGAGCCGGGAGGATGTTAGGATATAGGGGGAGACATTGGTCTGGGCAGGCACCCTAGTGAGTCACCGGGGCTGAGCCCGTCCTGAAATACGGGCCGACCAGCCCCAAGGTACTCACTGCACCCGGCTACGGGGTGCGCTCCCTCGGGAGCAGCGATACCGCTCCAAGGGAGCAGCCCGCATGAGATAAAGTTGCCTGTCCAGCCCGGAGGGCTTTGCGGCGTGGAGAAGGATTTCAGTATCCTGAGGATAGAAGCACGGAATGGTGTGCATGAGCTCTATTCGGTCGCTGTTTTTATATCAGCGTGCTGTCGGTTTTCCACATATAAGGAAGTTATTGCCTTCGCTTCTTGGCCTCTCATTGGTCTAACGAATAGTCCACTTAAATTCGACCAATGAGGAGCCAAGAAGTAGCAGCATGCTCGCAGCCTGCTGATAGATAAACGGGGGGGGGGGGCGAACAGAGCTCAGGTTGGTTGGTCCACTCCAAACTTGTAACTACAGTACAAGTACTTTTGTAACAGTTCCTTCATTTCAAAATTAGAATGTGTAGTTCACAATTCACTTAGTAGTCAGTTCACTTACTTACTTACTTACTTACGAAGTACGGAATTTGGATGGATAGGCCAAAGGCCTTTAGAAACCTTTCTAGTCGAGCTCCTCGTGCGTCTGACTATTCGTCTGCGTGAGGGGTGTCCATAGGTGGGCATCGTTCCCCAAAATTGTAACTTCGTTACTCGTTCCTCCGTTCCTTCAAAACCTGACTTCCGTTACTCGTTCCTCCGTTCCTCTGCATATAATGTAACGGAAGTTCTTTAGTCCGTTACTCCGTTACAACAAAATAAAAAACTTTAAAATGTTGTGTATTTCACACATTTTTTAGACCATTCTGACACAAACTAAACCTACCGAGAAAACGGAATGCCAACCAAATCTACCAAGACAGCGGACACTGATTGGACACTAAACCTTGGAAAGTCTGGTGGCACTGATGCGATTGCGCATCACTTCTCCCCGGCCAGATGCCGGTTGCTCTTCACGAACACTAGACGTTCCAGGTTGGCATCTGAGAGCATAGGCGGCGGAACGGGGGGGGGGGCACCGGAGCACCGTGCCCCCTTTGATTTTGGCATTTTAACATTAGCCCTATGTGCGTTGCATGGAAAGAATGGGACTAAAAGTCGGGAGTGCCCCCCCCCCCCTCCCTTAAGATGTTCCGCTGCCACTTTCTGAGAGGGTAGCCCTTTTTGCACGTAGAACATCTTTTCCCATTGAGAAAATGCGCTGTACTGAGGCGCTTGAAGGGACGCCCGAGTTGAACTTTGCGAGCACATATTGCAACGCCAGCTCATTTCGGAAGGCCAGTACACTGAGGCCATCTTCCTTCTTCAAGTCAGGGCTGATCAATAATCCACTATTCCGCTGCTGCATCAATGTCTGTGGGTTAGCTAAAAGATCAGCCCGCTCGGACAACGAAAAGTAACGGAGGAACGAAGGAACGGATTAAACTGTAAAGTGTAACGGAGGAACGAACAACCAATGTAACGGAAGTTACTTGGTCCGTTACCTTTTTTAAAATGTAACGAGTCCGTTCCTCCGTTCCTAAAAATTGTAACGGCGTTCCGGAACGGAGGAATGGAGGAACGGATCGTGCCCACCTATGGGGGTGTCGTGTGCGAGGTGTGCCCAGTGGGCGTCAGCCGGTTTTTGAACTGGTTCAGAGTGTCAGAGCCGGCGACCGCTGGCGGTAGGCTGTTCCAGTCGTTGATAACGCGGATGGAAAACGCGTTGCGCCGGATCCTGGAGACTGCTCGCGGCTTGACTAGTCTCACTGGTGTCCTCTTGTGGCAGGCGTTCTGTTGGATGCCATCTCAAAGAAGCTGTGAGGGTTTATGTCAAGTCCACCGCGTAGCAGCTGATAAACCGTGATCATATCACCGCGCCTCCGTCTGTAGTACAGCGTTGGCAGCTGCAGTGCTTTCAGTCGCTCTCGGTACGGGAGGTGTCGTACACCTACAAGTACAGCCACCACCTAAAACCTACAACCTAACCTACGGCGCCTCTCCTTGGTTGCAAAAAAAAAAAAAAAAAACAAGTGTGATGCCTGCTTTACTACTGCCTGAAGTTTTAATTAAGTGGACAACGTTTTTATAGATTTAGCCAAGATTTAGCTCAATTGTCTCTCTATGGCAGATATCTACCGGACCATTACCAGTCCACCAAGTGACTCACCATGGCAGACAACATGCCTAGCACCTACACCACTACGACTACAACAACCACGCGCACCATCTTCTTCGACAAGACCATGCTGCGCAGGAAAGAAGTGATCCTAAAGATGGCTGAGATGGTAAGGGTAAACTATATGAGATTGTAAAATATAGCATGTCCTGCCTCTTGACTATCCATGAACTCTAAGACGAACCCATATCATTAGTAGGTAATGTCCTTCCATAAATTTGCTGATGTTTGCTCGTTTTGTCTATGGCACAGGACCGGAAGATATTAGGTATGCTCCTCATTTCTCCGGTGGCCTCTGAGCCCAGCTTATTTGTCCCGGCGCCCTCAAACCCTGGCATTGTTGCCAGACCACTGAATACCGGCCTCTCTCCGCCCGCTAGCTGTTCTGCATACTCGGCATGATCTGCGTGGCATCCACATACAATCCGTACTCGAGTCCGGCCAGCTTCTACTACTTCTGCGCTACGATCGGCCTCGTTGTGGGTCTCATCTTGTTCATCATCTATGTGACTCATCTGCGTGACAAGGCGGCCCCCACCCTGCGGCTCAACTTCGTGGTGAGTGCCATCACGGCCACTAGAGTCAGACACACACTGCCACTGGGGCTCTGCGGCTCGGCTCAGTGAGGCTGGTCGCTCCGCGGCATAGCAGTGTTAGTCAGAACTCACAATTGCTTTCTGTTCGGAGGTATGTGTATCACAAGGCTGCTCCCGTGTGACAATCCCAAGCATCGTATCGTATCGTTGCGTGTCATGATGGCTACGTTGCATTTATTGAATGTCGCCAGAATGACCGACGCGTAATAAGACTTAAGTTCATTGATCGGTGTCATTGCCCGCATTTAATTTTAGCGAGCCGTGTACAGTGGACTGGTTTCATAAGGCCGTAAGCTGCTCTGAGCCCTCTGTACACACTGGTGGACACTGTGGACACTGTGAGTGTGGGCTGGACACGATAAATACCTGGGTGGGTAGTGGACGCTGTTGGCTGCTGTCCTAGGACGTCTTGTGCCTGACACCTTGGCGGCTCTCCTCGGCAGGAGATGGTCTACAGCGGTATCCTCTGCATCTTTTTCATAGCCGGCTCGATTGCTGCCATCACACGCGCACAAAAATACTATGGCGAGACTGGCCTGATGGTGGCAGGGGTAAGTAACAGCGCGACCGGCATAACCCGCTGAGGGCCCTGGATTTTCATGCCCTGCTGAGGGGGATGGGGAGGGGAGGGCTGTAACTCGGCTCCTGGGTCACGTAGCGACATTCGTTAAAGTGACCATCCCACCTTAACATTAGTTTTGAGTTGAGGTAGTCAAATTGGTGGCCGTGGCCTGAAAATACCGGTTTGGGCACTCACAACATCGAAAATGCTTTAATTCGGAGATATGGAATTTCAAACTTGTAGTTTTCGGATTATAAGGGGCTAATGCATTGGAATGCCCCCTTAGAATTTGTGACGTCAGCGTAGATCTAACGTGTCTAAATCTTTTACTAAAACGTTTGGTAACACGCAGTGGTATATGCCGCTTTGCGCGCAACGAATGCCGCACTTAACAAAAGTAAAAGTCTAATATTTTGAAAACCGGTGAATATTTTTCGATGAAATTTGGTAGATATTCGTTTTCGCTCTTTCTGAACCGAGCGACATCACTTTCATGGCAATTCATTAACTTTTTTGAAGGTGGGAGGGTCCCTTTAACCCTATTCCTGGCGGGCTCCGCCGGGACAAGAAACTGGCGGGGGGGGGGCCGATTCGGCCCCCCCCCCCTGAGATCTCGAGAACAAAGCAAGATAGCGACAAGCGGTAAACGGCATCGGATACGCATGGACAAGGTCTACAATTTTTACTGAGGTTATTTTCAGGTCAGGTCAAAGATGACGTCACAGGGGTCGAAAAAGTCAAAATGGCGGCGCTAGATATGGAGAGAGTTTTTCTCGAATAACTTTCGAATTAGTCAAGATAGGAACAAACTAAGGGCATCATCGTGATCCTCTCGTCAATCCGCATCGAATGATATATACAGGGTGTCCGGAAAGTTCTGGCGCCTCTTTTGAACGTCGTGTAACGCGCGCTGTGATTATTGGACTTTCAACCAATCACCGCAGATATGACCCCTCGTTCACCGCTCAGCTAGGGGTCGCGTAAATATGACCTTGAAACCGTTTTCAGTGCTAGGTATATGGGCGAAGATGCGCCTTGTCGCTGAGAGCCCGCGCGCGGGGGCCCGGTGCGGCTTGAACGAGGCGCGAGTTGCAACGCGATGCGGCGTTTCCCGGCGAACGGTTGAGCAGGCAAAGGTGCACTCCAGATCGGAAATGTCTTAGAAAATATTCTCACTCAGCTACAACCACGGTATGCCAAAGCTGCTGAGACTGAAGCAGCATTTCAGCGGCAATCGAAGAAAATCTTGGGTCTGATGGACACAAATGTCCCATCATCTTCGTCAAGGTCAAATAAATGACTGATAGGCTGGTCCACGAGGGGTTCCTGGACACGACAATCAAGGCGACTTGCCCTAAGGGTCATGTCGCACTTCAACAGCACGGAGCGCCCTCCAACAACGCCGCTGCCGTCCAAACCAAACTGACAGAGGAGCTCGGCGGACCAGATCACCGTGGTGAAATGAGATTAGGCCACCTTATTATCCCAGCCTTAACCCGCTCGACTAAGGCATGCTACGCGTTTTGCAGAATAAGCTCTAGGCCGCCTCTCATCCCAGCCTGGAGTCCCTGAACACTCGCATCATGACAGCGTGGGAGGACAGGAAATGTCCTGCACCGTCAAAACCCGCAGGCGTTTCCGCCCTTGCGTCGAGACCGTCGTCGGCACAGACGATGGTTACAATGAATGGGCACTTAGCAGAAGGATGTGGCTTGGTGTTCCTGGTCATTGTTTCGTTCTATTGTTGAGTATCTATGGACCAAAGGCATTTATCTTAACAATGTTGAAAAGCGCCAGGACTTTCCGGACACCCTGTATGTTGACCTCGAAAGGTCAAGGTCAAAGGTTGACCTCAGGTCACGTGACCTCGAGGTCATCATGTATATCATTCGATGCGTCTTGACGAGCTGAACACAATGAGACCATCCACGCGTCTGTATCTTGTTCCTGTACGGAGTTATTGGCCAAAAACCTTTGGTGACCTTTGATGACGTCACATGACCTCACAGCTGCCCAACAGCAAAACAGACCTCAAGGTAGTGAAGGTTGATCGTATATGAAGTCATGTATGGTATATGGGGCCATTCCGACCCGTTTTAGTGATAAAAACAGGGAGTTGATTTTTCCCCCATTGACTTATAATGGGGAGGTCGCGAAACTGACCTGACCTTAGGTCACCGATATCAAAATTCCGAGATATACAAATTGCACATACTGGTACCCTAACTAAAGCCTGAAGAGAAGAAATTGATCGGTCAAAAACTCTAGCTCTGGCGTGATTGCAAACTTTTCTGAGGTAGGGTCACCAAACCGCCTCTGGTGACCTGACCTGAGGTCAGATCAACTCAAAATTTTCAGACATGTTGCGTAGAAGCCTTTTAGGAAAAGTCAGAAAATTTGAGCTTCCTAGCTCAACGCGTTTGGGAGAAATAACCAAAAAACCTCGGGGGGGGGGGGGCTCCTGAGGCCCCCCCCCCCCCGCCAGGAATAGGGTTAAGCGGCAGTCGAAAGAACGTGCAAAATAAGGACGAAAATATTTCAGCTATGTTTAGGTCAGGTTTAATATCAGGTCACCAGAGGTCATCAAAGGTAAAATGTTGCCTATTTCAACAGTTTTCTTAACAGCGGCACGTAACTCGGGAACCCGTTGAGCTAAGAAAAGCGCATTCGATAGCCCTTTTAACCATATTTCTGGAGTTTGTCCTCTGGTTTGACCTCAGGTTAACGGTTTAGCCTCCAGAGGGTAAAAGTTAAAAAAAAAATAGCCGTTGTGACGAAACATGTTTTTCTTCAATAACTTTTGACTCAAAGGAGTCACGACATAACTTTTGCCAGCATCGTGTTTCTCTCGTCGAGACGCGTGAAATGAACTATATTTTGTCCTTGAAAGGTCAGCTTGAAGATTTGACCTCAGATCGAGGTCATGACCTGACCGGAAAAGTCATGCTGCATGTTAGTCTATTCGTATCGTCGAGCCGAACACATCTAGGGCATTTTCATCGCTCTAGCATGCGTCTTTTAAGAGTTATTACCGAAAAACTGTTAGATACTTACCTTTCGTGACCTGATATGACCTTAGGGACATACGGAGGGGTTGTAAACTTTGACAATATAAATGAAAATGACAACATGAAATGACAAATGGCATTAGATGATCCCTACAGGGTCACGGGTGCCATTTTCCGGTTCAATGTGTTATGTTTACTTGTAACTCGTGTTTGAAAGCGTTTAGAGTGGCGTTCGTCGAATAGAGCGCCTTTCAATTTTCTCCAATTCACTTAGGAGGTCGCAAAATTGACCTAACCTTAGGTCACCGATATCATAATTCCGAGCGTTTCCGAGACGTACATTTTGTACATATTGCTGCAGTCTCATCAAATACTAAAAGTTTCAAAGCGATCGGTCACGGTGTAGGCATTGCAGACAATGAAACTTTTTAGGTGAGGTCACATGACTAGTTTCTGGTGACCTGACCTTGAATGACCTTTGTCTAATTTTTTCACAGTATGTGCGGAAGTGATGCATGATAAAATCTGTCAAAAAGTCGTGACTCATCATGTTTTTTAATTGTGTACCAACACATCAATTTGAACACTTCGAATCCTTTTAAAACACAAATACTGGTATTTATCTTCCCATTTTTTTCTTTGTGCCACTCGGTTGAGGCTCCTGCCACTTCCCTTGCAGGTGTTTGGATTGATCCTGGCGGCGCTGTACGCCATCGAGACATTCATCATGTACCGGGCCTGGAGGTCGGGCGCCACTATGAGCGCCGCACAGACCACCACCGTCCGGCAGGTGGCCTAGGCGCCGACCGTGGCGCCATCCAACGGACAAACAGCAACACTCAGCTCGACCCGACGCCGCCAGGGGATGTCCAATATTTCTACAGTATCGCCGCGAGTTTTGAACTGTTATGGACTCACTTCAGATTGCTATAAATTGAACCCGGCATAATTTGACTATCGGCGAGACCCCGTTGGTAGTCCAACTCCCTCAGCGTCGAGTCCCCGTCCTGATATCCTGACGTCTGACCTCCCCGCCTCGCTGGGTCGCCATCCGTCACCTCTGCGGCGCTTCCTATCTCTCCCCCGACGCACCACCGCTCTGTGAATCTCTGGGTGCGGAGTGGGAAACGCCCGCCGGCTCACCCCGCCCAGGGAGCCCGTCACGAGTTATTGGCTGGGCGGGTAGCTTCCAATGAGAAGGTGGCACTTGTTTTGGCTTGTGGCCACACACTGACCGTGTGGGTATTATTTCCAGCGTCTGGTCACCGGCCAACCGGCATTGGGCGACAGAGACGTGCAAGCTAACACCCCGACACTCGGTACCAGTGGGGCTATCCAAACGGGGCGCCGAAGGTGGCGACAAGCAGTACCTATGGGCTATTATAACAGGTCGGGTGTTGTTATGTTGTGGTTAGATGTCAGTGTGGCTCCTTGAACACTAGTCCTTTTTCCTGTTTTCCTATTTATCGACCTGCTGTACAACTAATATTTGTTTGCCGCTAAAAATCCACTCGAGGATTAGGAGTCGAAAGTTGTTCATGGTTCCGTCCAAATTTTGATTTGTGCAGGATTTCTGATCTTTCTTTGTAGGGTTCCAGTGTTTTGTATGTGTCTGGGACTGTCTCTTGTAACCCCTACTATTATCACTCCCGTGGTATTTGTTGCAAGCCTATTGCCGTGTCCAGCGCTCCACCTAGCACCGTGACTTGTGCTGTGCCTAACTGCTTAGCGCTGTGCCTAGTGTCGTGCCTAGTCTACTGCGTTTGCTCTCACTGGCACTGTCTTCTTGGTGTCTTTTTACGAGTGACTGTCAAACACGACGACTGCCATCTTGGTATTGTCTTGCGGATTGGCTTCCTTGAGTGTAAGTAGTCAGCACTAACTACTCTTTTTGGACCTTCGCTTGTTTGATGAACTATTTTGCATTAACATTTATTTGTTTTAGGTTTATTTTTCGGCGTGATGTGTGTGTGCGTGTTGCTTACATTTATCCATGCTTTGGCGATAGGCATAATTGCGGTGGGAATGATGGCCTTGGTTAATTTGTAACCGTTCGGCGGATTTGCCGCTGTGTTCCGGTTGCTAATCTTCTTTATTTAGATACGCTTCTTTCTAATAGCAATCTCATTTGGCATTAAGTATCGGTGGGATACCGTAGTAGTTGTGTTTCTTTTTACCAATTTTTATGTAACGCCGAGTGTTCAAATCCTTGCTAAAACGTTTCTAATCCTGCAATGTTGTTTGGATTACCGTTTTTCATGGTGTGTCGCATAATCGAATGGTAAAGGCCAAACGGACTTCGTCTATTAACCGACTGTATACCATAATTCATATTACGATGATACGGACTTGGTTAGTGTGCCTGTTGGACTTGAAGCAGCTTAGCTGTTGTGAAAGGGTATCGTGATTCGTGTGGCCCATAGCTGTCGCGTGCTTCCATCTACCATGTCAGCTCTGTCGTTCGCAGGGAACCAAAGGAGGCCAGTAACCGCCGATCACTTGCTTTAATCTAACACATGCATATTGCATAGCATAGCAATGTTTCGCGCTATTGGTCGTGGTATGATATGCGCCTCGAATGTGCTGGACATGTGCCTTTATTCACTTCGATTGTATCCAGCTTTGGTCTGCGTACTTCCAGGAATCTGCAACGTACCTATTTAGCCAGAATTGCTACTGTAGCAGGGTAATGATCGTGCCGGCCGTATTTGGCAAGATTTGACGATATTTGCAGTGAATCTCGTATTTTTCTACCGCGCACATATTTTCTAAACATTGTTGATAGTCTGAACTCTGTTCTATTACTGATTTTTTTTCCAAGAGAACCTGAAGTGTTTACAGTATACTATAATATTATCATGAAAGGTGAACGCATAATTCTAGCCTAGATTTTGGATGCATTTATAATGTCAACTGCTGCCTTATCACACTGCCTTGCACTGTCCAACACCAGCTTCCAGTAAATGCGACCCACTTAATCTGCTGAGACCGCTATGCACGAACTTTTCATGTACCGTGACAACACGAGGGGCTTGTCGCGTTTTCGCGCCATCTGTGGTCAAACGGTAAACATAGGTCTATGAGCAGTAAGGGTTGTGGGCCTGTAGCCATTAGAAGCTAATGAATTGATGATCACGGCTTGCTTGTTGGTGAATATCTAAACGCTGTTATATGGCTTTCTGATGAGTGGGTTGTGGGATAATTAGAGTATACCGCTTGAGCTTGATGTCGTTTAAATGTCAGCGTGTAGCTAATGTGTGAGCACTGTATGTCCTCATCGGGCTTGTAAGGCACTATACCCCCGACACGAGTCTGCGTGAGGCTTTTGTTCGCTTTAGCCGTGCCGGTGATCTGATACTAACATACCCACCCGTCCCCAATGTGTACCTGGAGCCGTGTGTAGTCGGCCTTTCACACTGCTGCATCCCCGCCGATGTCGGCCGGTCGTCTGACTTGCCCTCGCGCGGTGAGCAGCACGCTTGTGCCCTCGGACTGGGGGTCGTGGCCGATTCGGTGCAGCTTGTAGTTGTGTTATCCCTGAGGCAAATACATTAAAACAGGCTTTGTAGTTGTATTTGACGTGATGTGGGATGCACTGCTATTGGCTTGTTAAGGGAAATATTGCGCCTAAAACTGGAGTACTATTGGCTTGGATAATGAATATTATGCCGGGTTGAGAAATGAAAGCTTTTATGCCTAGCTACAGGTAATATTAAGCTACTGCAGCTCAGCTATTATCTTAGATTTGAGCACTGGTTGACAACAGAGTAGTTATTTTGAAATTGGGTCTCTTGCAGCTAGGATTGATGGTTACGTTACGGGCTACGGCCTGCATGTTTTCCATTTTCACGAGCATCAATTCAGTATCGATATGATTCATGTGAAAAAGTGGCCACTCTAAGCCTCAAGAACAAAAGTTTTTAACCATTTCTCACCAACAAAATGCTGCTTTTCGCTTACAAATACATGTCGATGCTGTTCAATATAAATTTAAAAGGAAATTATTTATGATATATCGCTTTCAAACGCAAGTTAATGTTTTTACCATATTTTTGCTTTCTGAGATGAGATAAGAAATACTTCTTGATCTGCTCCCGCCAAAACTCGCCGCGCTCGCTGCCATTTTCGTAAACAAATGTGGCGCGCGGTGGTGCTGTCTGGTGCTGTCGGAGTTCTACAGCCTTGGTGCTGTCGGTTGTGTTGTGTGGTGTAGAACTCTCGCCGTTTTTACAAGGTATGGTTCATAAATTATTTTTATTTTATTATAATAAAATGATTTTATCTTTGATCTTCCATTTGTTTTTCAATCGGTACGTGGATTTTTGCCCGCAGCTCAAGCTGTTCATCGCAGGATTGGGATTCAAGTAATAAGCAGCATCATTACCCAACTTAGACGATCGTGATAGTCAATAAATGCTTATGTTCCAGTGAATTCCGATGATAATTCGCATTACATTAGCCATTAGGCTTGTCTTCGAACGCTTTCCAAGTTTCCAACGCGGCCTTGCAAGCCTGACTCCGATCAGGCGTTCCCGCCTCCCGGGGAACAAGTTATCCGTTGTACCCCCTTGCCCCCCTCAGAAAAAACTGACTCCGTTTGTGAAATCACCGCTATGTAATTACCCTATATAGTGAATTGGTAGAAATATCTCTAGACCTGACGAATCTAGCGACTTTCCCCAAACTGGTGGCAGCATGTGAGATGCCTGCTATAAGAAAACTGAGATTTTGGTGCAATTTGCAATAATATGGTAGGTACTACTGTTAACGCCAGACCCCTTGCGACCCTAATTTTTCGCGATTATTTTTAAATGCGTGGAGGAATTTCAATCAAGCTCAGGATATTGCCGTTTCAAGACCTGCCGAAACTTTTACAATTTAGATATTTTATCGTCATTTCAATATTTCAGGCACTTGTCATTGACTCGTAATGTTAAATTTCGAGCAAGATTTTCACCCGGTGTGTAGAGGCTATCACCAGTCAGTCTGTGATACGTTATGACGTCACAGCTAAGCCCCGCCTCTGTGGTCTTGGCCTGCGGCGGTTTCGGGCCGGCGCGCGGTCACTCTCGCTGTGGCGGGGAGCGGGGACGGTCGAGCGGTGCCGAAAGCCGGCGGAGTTGTGCATAGCGTCTTGGCTGACAGTGCCCAGAGAGCGACATGATGACTGAGGAGCCATATATGCTCAATGCGCATTGCTTGTACAATGCTGATTTGTTCGCTGATATTTGTTTTATTTTTTATAAGCTGCAAATGACGGGCAGATGGCATATAACTGACATAAGGTTAGGAGATATTCACCTGCATTTAAAGCCTATGGCGTTGCAGATAATGCGATAATGGGATGTCGGATATCACCAAGTAGCTGCCGATTTGTACATCGCTATGCAGCCCTCGAACAACGCAATAATAAGTTAATTGCCTTCGCTTCACATCATAAGGCTCGCTCGTATTTCAAACAGATACCCTATATCGAAAATCGTATTAATTAGGAATCGTTAACGTTTGTTCGAAGCACGTGTGAGTAGTAGGTTGAGGAGTGATGGTCCTCTTGGTCCTATATACAAGTGTCAACAAGAGCCTAACATTTACTTGACCGTCTGCTGCAATTGATTCATAGCACGTGAAGCGTCAGCGAAATTCATAGTCCTTTACAGATGGCAGGGGTGTCGTTTGTACAGAGGTCGCTGATGGGCACGGGTCAATGCCGCAGTCGTGGGCGGAGCCTAATGTCATATGACGTAGAAAGCCTCTATCCAGGATGGAAAAACAGTTAACATTACGAGTCAATGACAAGTGCCTGAAATATTGAAATGGCGATAAAATATCTAAATTGTAAAAGTTTCGGCAGGTCTTGAAACGGCCATATCCTGAGCTTGGTTGAAATTCCTCCACGCATTTAAAAATAATCGCGAAAAATTAGGGTCTCAAGGGGTCTGGCGTTAACAGTAGGTAATGCTTATGTGTGCCAAATTTTAACCTTTTTTCTGTTCAAGCATGTACATGGGTAGTCATAAAGCAGGCGTCACACTTGTGTTTATGGCTGGAGGTAGTGTGACGGGCTGTGGCCTTGAGACTGGTGCTAGTGTTGTGCCTTGTGTGTTGTCTGTCGCAATATATTACGTCACGGACGTGCTATTGATGCATGTTTTCTATCAATGACATAGTGGGACTTGGCTGGTCCAAGCGAGACACAATGGGATTAGTCCCAGCGGGACAAAGTGGGACTCAACCTACTACTGCAGAACATAGTGGGAGTCAGCCGGTTCCAGCGGGACTGGTTCCAGCAGTCAACTAGTCAATGCATCGATAGTATGTCCGTGATGTAATGTATTGCGACGACACTAGCACCAGTCTCAAGGTCACAGCCCGTCACACTACCTCCAGCCATACACATGGAAGTGTGACGCCTGCTTTACGACTACCCATACATGTCCCAATCTATGCCATCAATGATGAAAAGTTTCATAACAAAGCCCAAGCTACACTGTGTGATCCTCCAGGAAATTATTTGTATGACCTGTGTCTTGTTGGGCAGGTTATTGTGGGAAATCAGTAGTGTGCACTAGCAGAACAAGTTTAGCTGATAGGAAATACTTTGGGTGGGCTACATTGAGAGTCACACCCTTTCGATCAAGGAAATCACGGGTGGTAAGTCGGGGAAATGCCGGATAGTTAGGTGCTGATTGGGCCCTAAAACTAGAAGTGACTGTACAGCGAGGGAAGTTAGCTAGGGTTGGGTTTCATTGCCTTGTGCCAAAATTTTTGAAATCGTCTTCTTGCACTGAAATCCTTTTTTGACCGTGCTCCGAAATTTTAGTGCATGGGGTTAGACCGTTAGGTACATTGGATGCTGTACCAAAATTCTGGCACAATCCGCCCGGCGCCCACTGCGTGGGACACACCTGATTCTGGATGTTTAAAATGTGCTTTAAAAATGTAGCACTCGCACCAAGTCAGAAAGGCTGTTTATTTTTTATAACTCTGGTATGAATGCAGCATGCTTCCACCCAATCATTCTATTCTGCCACCTACTATGGCAAAGGTATGCAAGCTAGCAAGTGTGCTGTTTTCTCGCCCTGCCCTGCATCTGACCACCCAACTCATCCTCAGGCTGCTGTAGTCGCCGGCCCCGAAGCTGCCCGTCATGCCGTCCCCGGCTCGCACGCCGACCCGCCGCGGCCGCACCGGCTCGGCAGCCTCGACCCCGAGCCGCGCCTCACCGCGCTCCGGGCGCGCCTCGTCCCGTGCCGACTCCGGCGCGCCGCTGCCGCCGGCCGAGTCGCCGGCGCCGTCCGAGGCGGTGCCGCCCAGCGTCTCCTCGGACCAGCAGGCGGCCAGCTCTCCGGCGCTCTCCCGGCTGGGCGCGCCGGCCAGCGTCATCAGCGGCCCGGCCAGCGTCGTTAGCGAGATCGACCTCGGCTCGCCGCTCAACTATGGCACGCCCAGCTCGCTGGGCTCTCTGCGCACCCCGCGGTCCAGCGCGCGCGGCACACCCGTGCGACACCGTTCGGACCTGCGCTCCGACCGCGTCATGCGCCAGGTCAACGTGGGCGAGCCGGTGAGTGTAGCTGGGAGGAGAGAGAGTGGGAAACTCTAGTGGGGGGCGTGGAGCAGCGTGAAACCGTAGTTACGTGACCCGCCGCTAGTGGAGCTGGTGGCGGGTCAGTCTGACCCGCCCCAGCAGTGCGTGCTCGCCCTTTCATTGTGATGTGTCAATCCGGACGCCAGCTGACAGCTGGGCGTGGAGAGAACGGCCCCCCAGCCGGAGCCCGACGCGTCGGTGGAGAGCTGCAGCTCGCAGACAGGCGGCGGCACCAGCAGCCTGCCGTTCCAGCCGTCGAGGGAGGACACCCACCACAACAGGTCCTCTCTCGCTCCTGGCGACCACAGGAGCCGAGCCTCCCAGGATGACCTGGAATTGAGGAGACGGTACACATTCCTCAATTTCAGCTTTGCCGGAAAGACTGCCGCCAGCATGCTGATGCACCGGCCAGCGATCCGAGCTAGCAAACGAGCCGAAATGAAACTACGCTTCAGCGCCCTCGAAATGTCTTGCTTCAACTTTCGAACTTTACACTTAGGAACCGTAATCACAGGAGGGCTCAAAGCGGTAGCACAGCGAATTTCAAAGCCTAAATAAGTTACCGACTCCGAGGGCGTGAGATGTGACTTTTCAAAATTCACAGCGAGACCTAAGGTACTGAGCGTCTCTAACAACACACCAAGGTCTCGATCAATGCTTGCTTTTGTGGAGCATAAATAAAAATCGTCAACATAGGCCATGAGTGACAATGATTTGACATCACGCAAATATTTAACAACGGCACGAATACATTTGTGAAAATAAAACGGAGAGCATTGTAACCCAAAAGGTAAGCAGCACCACACCCACCAAGAACCACCGTACTGAAACCCTAAATACTTGCGATATTGTGGCTCGATCTGAAAATGAAAAAATCCGTCACGTAAATCTAAAGTTACAGCCTGCTCAGCATCACGTACTATTTCGGGTAAAACATCGATACCTTCAGACGAAAATCGTGGTGTATCACAGTGTGAGTTCACATACCTGAGGTCACATATCAGTCTGAACTTCCCACTAGGTTTCGGCACAACCTTTAGTGGGGACACGCAGTGAGGCGTCTCTGACACTCTCTGAACGACACCTCTAGATTCCAGGTTAATGAGTTCATTGTTCAAAAAATCAACTTCAGTATCAGTGAACCTTGGATTAGAAAATACTTTTGGTTCAGGCTCACTTGAAAACGGTATGGGAACCCCATCCGTTACCCATTCGATTACCACATCAGACGCGCCGATCTCCGACCAGGCCGCCGGCCGAAGCACCATGGTTCCCGTCACTCAGCGGCGTGCGGCCCCGGCCCCGCTCCGTGCTGCAGCTGACCGGGCCGGGACAGGTCACGTGACGGCTGCGGGTAGCCCGGGCCGGGTCGACCGCGGCTCCTCCAATCAGCCGACGCTGGGCCCGCGCCGAACCGCGCGGCCGCCGGCGGCGGACCGCGCCAGCGGGCACGGTCGGGCACGTGACTGACCTGGCGTGACTGCTGCCGCGCCCCGGCGATCGTCACCGCCCGCTGAAGGTTGAAGGCCACCGCGCCCGGTGGGAAAGCCGCCGGGTTTTGTTGCAGAGTCTTGAAAAGCTGAGCGGTCGTATCGTCGAACTGATTTGAGACAAGCAAGTTGGTATATTCTTCTTGTAAGTAACGGGTTTGGGCTAACGCGACTATAGTGAGTTGGTTTATCACAGGATCCGTAGCAGAAGCGGTTGACAAAACCTTAAGAACGGTTTCCTGGAACCTCGCGCACCTTTGAATCACTTGAAAACGCGGCAGGTCGTTCTTCCCCACGCCGGCGCGGGAATCTCCAACGACCAAGTCCTGCGGTAACTTGATCTTGGCCACTCCTTCACGAACAGTCTTTAGTTCTGCCTGGAGATCACTGTAGGATCCAAAATCGAACCCCTCTGTACTCACGGGTTCAGTCGGCTCAATAGCCTGTTCTGGTTGAGCCACGTGCCGACGACCGGCGTTGGGCTCCTCAAGGCGGTCGTTGATTGCACTCACTGACGCCTCAATCACAGTGAACCTGTCTGACAGGGCACGGATAGCCGTACTCAGCTCTTCCATCACTGGACACGGAGTCCCACACCGCCTCTAATACCGGCGACCGGGGAGCGCCCGAGCTGCGCGAAGCGAGCTGCCGATGGTTCGATCTGCAATCATGGATGTTTCGGCGTTCGTCCGCATGTTTCAGTCTTGGCCAGACAGTGCAGAACTGTCTACCAAACAGCTACGGCTGAAAACCATTACTTTGTTATCGCTAGCTTTAATGCTGAGGCCGTCTGACGTCGCGCCACTGGCTAAGAGGTACGAGTCCAGTACCGGTGTTATCTCTGATTTTGTTATGTCAACGGACCAATTTCAGTTTAACGCGGACGGTTCTCTCGGTGTGACCTTTCTCGGCGTCAAAAATGACAGCCAGCGTACGGGCTTCCAAGTTACTTTGCCCCCCAGTCCTGATAGCAAGTTAAATCCTGTGGAAGCACTCAGGATTTATCTGGCTCGTACGGAATCGGTGCGTTGTCCGACTACTAAACCGGCGTTTTTAACTCTCGTTAGGCCTTTCAAGGCTATATCTGCTAGCACAGTCGCTGAACTTCTGCAACAGGCCATCACTGCCGCCGAAAAGTTTGGCCTGCCGACTGGCCATCGGCCGAAAGGTTTTCGGCCGACAGGGGCTACTCGGGCGGTTCAATTAGGCTTTGACACTGATGATGTACAACGTCTTGGCCGCTGGAAAACACGGTCAGTCTTTTTGGAGCATTACGTGCACAACGCGATTCAAAGCTCGTACACGGAGCAAATGCTCAAGTGATCGTGTCAGTCTGATCAGTCGTGTGTGTGTTCGTCCTTCTAGAGCCAGGCACTTGTGCGATTCGTTCACGTTTTCCTTTTGTTTCTCTCTCTCTCCAGTGTTTATTGCGTTGTTTGTTATAATACATGTAAGGCGGGTCACAGTAACGTTGGTTTTATGAAACCGTAGTTACGTGACCCGCCGCTAGTGGAGCTGGTGGCGGGTCAGTCTGACCCGCCCCAGCAGTGCGTGCTCGCCCTTGCCGTGGTTGGTTGCTGGCTAATGTCGGTTGAAGGTTGATGCAAATGTTGAGGTGACGGGATCTGTGGAGCGTCCGGGCAGCGGAGAGCCTAGCATGTACGCTGTATTGCGTTGTTTGTTATAATACATGTAAGGCGGGTCACAGTAACGTTGGTTTTATGAAACGTTTTTTTTACACTTGCAGTTTTAAAATTGATGATAATGATATATTTATTATTTCTTTTAGGGTAAGGCTTGCAGTTTCATATCATTGGCATAATACACCTATGCATGCAGCATGAGAGTTTATGTGGTAGCTTTACGTCTATGCATAATATTTTATGAAATTAGTTACGCTTTGGCACTTCTTTCACTCAATGTAAAGCAAACCCTAATTCCCACTTCAACCTGGCGCTACCTCTATCTGACCCTCCCATGCCCTCCCCCTTTGCCGTCAGGACGCCGCCGCGGAGGGCGGTGAGCCGGAGCGTGCCCCGTCTGCCGCCGCCGGCGACGGCGCCGCGCCGACTCCCGTGCCGCAGGGCCCCCAGCTGGTCATCTGGGGCACCGACGTGGTGGTGAGCACGTGCAAGGAAAAGTTCCGCCGCTTCCTGGAGACGTTCGTCGACGCCGTGGAGGAGGATGAGCGCGTGGAGAACATGGACGAGTCCGGGCCGCTCTACATGCAGAAGCTGCGAGAGGTCAGTCGACAAGAAAGATACAAGAGTTACCCCGCGGCGTCAGTTCTTTTTAATCATAGAATTCGTTTATTGAGTTTTTTTCGAAGACTCCGGATCTAGTTACCCTGGATGAGTTCCTGCATCCAGCATCTTGTCTCAGCGACCGCTTGTCTTTATCGAACCTCGAGCTGCATGCCTCTGACTGCGGTTTGACGTCACCCCGTGTCTCCGACGTTAGATTCACCTGGTGGAGGAGCCGTTTCTCAACATCAACTGCGCACACCTGCAGCAGTTTGACGGCGACCTCTATCGCCAACTGGTCTGCTATCCGCAGGAGGTGAGACTAACGTACTCAGCGGCGGCTTACCAACGGCGCCGTGGAGACGCGCTGATCCGATATCTCCAAAATGAGGGGCTTTCAGCTCCTTGCCCGGTATCATTCGCTTAGTTGATTGTCACTCTTATCATTGGCGATTTGTTTTACTGAGAAATCATGTAAATTATAATCATCCATCACTTCTCTCCACGCTTTGATGCAATTTTCTTTTCGCTTGTATATCTTCCTGACTGCTTTTTCTTGACGTAGTAAACTCATTTGCGCCTCCTACATTTACTGTGGTACTCTGACGTCACCGCCGTCAGGTGATTCCGACGTTCGACATGGCCGTCAACGAGATGTTCCACGAGCAGTACCCGGAGACGGCCCTCCAGCACCAGATCATGGTGCGCCCGTTCAACGCTAACAAGACACGCAACATGCGCGCGCTCAACCCGGAGGACATCGACCAGCTCATCACCATTAGCGGCATGGTGACGCGCACCTCGAACGTCATCCCCGAAATGCGCGAGGCGTTCTTCCGGTGCACTGTGTGCTCCAACACCATGTCCGTCGACATTGACCGTGGCCGTATTGCTGAGCCGGTGCTCTGCACACACTGCAACACCAAGTTCTCCTACACTCTGATCCACAACCGGTCGCAGTTCTCGGACAAGCAGATGGTGAAGCTGCAGGAGTCGCCGGACGACATGCCACCCGGCCAGACGCCGCACACGGTGCTCGCGTATGCGCATAATGATCTGGTGGATGCTGTACAGGCCGGAGACAGGGTCACCGTCACAGGTCAGTGGACTGCTGGGCGTGGGGGTCAGTGGTGCTTCAAACGCATGCTACAAAGTCATCATCAGCAAAAAAATTCTATTAACATTTTTGCTACTTATTTTATCACTGTTCATTGTTCAACGAATATAATGCTTTTGTAGATGACGTAAAATCTTTCAACCCACACATTGTAGAAAAATTGGCTTTGAGCTGACTATTCTCTGCAGTCTGCATTGTAGCCCGTTCGGTGGCGTTTGAAATCAACTAACGCCCCTCCCCCTTCCATCACCTCAGGCATTTACCGGGCGGCGCCGCTGCGCGTCAACCCGCGCATGCGCAGTGTGAAGGCGGTCTACAAGACGCATATTGACGTTATCCACTTCCGCCGGCTGGACACGAAGCGGCTGCGGGGCATCAGCGGCGATGGGTCAGTGGTCGGCTTACCTAGGACTGGGAGCACAGTCATGTATCAGATGAGTCAGAGCGCAGTCATGCTATGCCGTGCTAGCTGTGCTCTAGCTCGGCTTAGACCTTTTTATCAACATTGATATAAGTTTTGTGTGAGATCTGTGGTCAATCGCTTATACAGACCGCCGGGGAGAGTTTCTCACATCAGTTTTGGTTGTACCGCCAGTATAAATCGATGCAATTTAGGACGCAGAATGCGGAATTTACTGACGAATGCGGATTTGTCGAGTTACAATATGCAACACGTCATCGAGCGGCTTACATATGTAGCCAAATAGTAGTCGGCAATTTGCGGACCATATTCGTGTTCCACAATAACCCGATGAGTTTAACCGTCATAGACTACTCCATAGCTTCAGTAGTCTTGGTCAGGTTATTGTGTTCCATTATAACCTGTTGAGTTAACCATAGACACTCAGTAATACAGTAGTTAATGGTTTACCCTGTAATTTTAACCTATGTTTAAACGTTTCGCAGTAACGCGAATGGACTCGTGTGTTTTCTTAGCGACCCGATAGATCGCCCTAGATCTGTTTTCAGAATCTCCATTTAACCCGTCTTCTATCCGGCAGTAACCCGATGACTCTGACCCCGGAGCGTATCGAGACTCTGAAGGAGCTCTCCCGAAAGGAGGACGTGTACGAGCGACTGGCGCGGGCCATCGCGCCCTCCATCTACGAGAACGAGGACATCAAGAAGGGCATTCTGATGCAGCTCTTCAGTGGCACCCAGAAGGACTTCTCAGACTCGGGACGCGGCAAATGGAGGTGAGCCAACGTGGCGTCACGCAGGGACATATCGGCGCCGCCGTAATGGCATGAGTGTCATGTGAGAGTTACCTCTGTTTGCTCTTAATCAGATTAATTTTCTTATCAATAAAATTTTGTTAATTGCTCGTTTGTAGTTGCTGTTTAGGGCTGTCGTAGTTTAGTAACTCTAGCTGGATTCTCTCACTTTTGGTTTTACCTCTCCGAAACACTAACGTCGAAGGCAGCAGTGATATTATTCTCAGCGTACTGCACTTGTTCACGTTGGGGACAGTACTCTTCCGATTGCCCTGAGGCCTAAGTACCCTGGTACGCCCAAGGCGGTAGCATTTGAGCGTCGTTTCTCTCTGACATTCCCGAACCATCTATCCTCTTGTCTAACCAGTATCCCCCCCCCCCCCTGCCAGGTCGGACATCAACATCCTGCTGTGCGGTGACCCGGGCACGTCCAAGTCTCAGCTGCTGCAGTACGTCTACAACCTGGTGCCCAGGAGCCAGTACACCTCGGGCAAGGGCTCCTCGGCGGTCGGTCTCACCGCCTACGTCACCAAGGACCCCGAGACCAAACAGCTGACCCTGCAGACGTAAGCGCCGAAAGAGGCCGGAGAGAATAAGGGAGGTGTGTGTGTGGGGGGGGGAGGGGGGACTGGTGGCGGCTTAGGAAGCTGCATTAAGTGATCAAGTATTGCTGGCTGTGACACTGGTTGTTTTCGGTCGCGCGTGAAATCGTAAACTGGCAATGCTCAACTAGCCGGTTCCTGGTATCATGCAATGATTCTCCCTCAGCACTTTATTTTTGTTTTCCATAAACAAGTGTCAAGGCTACTCTTTTATTCTCTTACACCACTCCACCGGCGCCGATGACCACTGTAGTCCGGGCGCCCAAAAACCCCCTCCACCGGCATGGACCCCGCTCCGGTCACGGCTCACTTTCGTCTCCGACCGCTGACGTTAGTTCCTCTCGTCACCGCCAGGGGCGCCCTGGTGCTGGCCGACAACGGCATCTGCTGTATCGACGAGTTCGACAAGATGAGCGAGGCGACGCGCAGCGTGCTGCACGAGGTGATGGAGCAGCAGACTCTGAGCATCGCCAAGGCCGGTATCATCTGCCAGCTGAACGCCCGCACCTCGCTACTGGCGGCGGCCAACCCGTGCGAGTCGCAGTGGAACAAAAACAAAACCATCATCGAGAACATCGAGCTGCCGCACACGCTGCTCTCCAGGTCAGAAGGGTGGGGAGAGGGAACTAGGGAGAAGAGAAGTAGTAGTATGGTAGGAATGATGGAAGGACATGGTTGGGACTGGCTGTATGGGTTTAAAGTGCTTTTGACGGTCAAAACAGACGCTACCAACTGTTGAACCTGATAATTTCGCTTACAATCTTACTGAATTCCGCCATTTTCCACGTCTTTTGTGACTGATGCCGGCCTATCTGAAATCGTTCTAGGTATTAGGCAATGGTATCACTTGTGGCTACGCTCGTTTATCATTCATTGGCTACCATTAATGACCACATGTGTCCGACTTAAACCCACCCAGATTTATCTGACTGACCTCTCACTCTACCGACAGGTTCGACCTGATCTTCCTGATGCTGGACCCTCAGGACGAGGCGTTTGACCGGCGACTGGCCCGCCATCTGGTGTCGCTCTACTACACTGCCGACGAGGCCCAGGAGGATGAGATCATGGTAGGCGGGGGAGGGAGAGAAGGAAAATACATGGCGGGGATGATAATGTATTCTAGGATGGTGATTGGGTCAATGTGATTGAACTGCGCTGTTGTTGTTTTGGATGGTTAGTACTCATATTGCATTGTTGTTCTAAAGGAACGAAAGAACACATAGTCGTGTCACGCAAGGGAGTGGCAAATAATGCCACTCATTTGTATAGTCGCGTGAATATCACTCGGATCTTTCTGCAGTTCTGTCACTTCCTAACAAGCTGACTGGTCTCTCCTCTGCCCCTGTTTGTATGTAACTCGTCCCCTCCGTCTCCGTCAGGACATGGGAGTGCTCCGCGATTACATCGCCTACGCCAAGGCCACGTTCCAGCCGACCCTCACCGACGCCGCTTCGCAGAGACTCATCTCGGCCTACGTCGACATGCGCAAGGTCAGAAACGTGGGATCGAATCCCGGCAGTGATCAATTAATTCACTTAATTAAAAACACGGAGGAATACGATTTGGACTTTGATGCTTAGGTTGCCTTCAAAACATTGTAGAAAAACGACACGACGAAATGCATTCGTTGTCGAAATGTGTTAACACGACTAGAAATTGACTAATTCATTCACGTTCCGTGTTTTCATCCTTATTAACCTCGATTTTCTTGGCGATTTCTTCGACGCCTTTTTCTTGGAATTCTTCGAAGCAGCTTCGTTTGCTGTCCCGACCCCACTGACCTGACCTTGTGTGCCGCCGGCAGGTGGGCAGCGGGCGCGGTCAGATCACCGCCTATCCGCGTCAGCTGGAGAGTCTCATCCGGCTGGCCGAGGCGCATGCCAAGATGCGCTTCTCCAACTCTGTGGAGCTGCCGGACGTGGAGGAGGCGTGGCGGCTGCACCGCGAGGCGCTCAAACAGGCCGCCACCGACCCGACCTCAGGTCAGTCGGGACGGAGTCGGCCGACCGGGCACGATGGGGTGGATCGGACACTCGACTGAGATCTGCTTTGTGGAACTTCTGTATTATGGTCCGAGAGGGAAAGGGTCGGACACTCGATCGGGCACTCGACTGAGATCCGCTTTGTGGAATTTCTGTATTTTGGTTGAGCTGTTCATCGGAATAACGATTTGAGTCACATTCGGTGAGCCATGAGTAAGAATCAGTTCCTGAATTTTAAAAGGCTAAGCTTTTACGCTGCGCCGCGAAATTCCTGCCTGACGCCGTAGTAACGACCGCGCCACGTCGGGTCACTCACCACCTCTCTCCCCCCCCCCCTCTGTCTGAACAGGCCGTATCGACATATCGATCCTGACCACGGGCCTGTCGGCGGCCGGACGCAAACGTCGCCAGGAGGTGGCGGCCGCCCTCAAGAAGGTGATCAAGGAGCGCGGCTCGGCACCGACCGTGCCGCTCACCAAACTCTACCAGGAGCTTCGCGAGCAGTCGGACATCGTGAGTTCTGATGAGAGATGTTGGGGCGATCTGGGTAAAAGTTGCCGTTATCAGCAGACATGGTGGCAGGTTTGTGCTGGATTTGCTGGAGCTTCATGTCTTTTTTCGTTCTTTGATTTATGTTGAAAGTTATGTTGTTTACGTTTTGTTTGTTGACGATTTCATCTAACAACTTGGGGCCATTTCTTGGATCATCTTTCATTTGCGATTTATATGAATATTTTATTGGTATCTGCTGGCTTCAACGAATAGTTCGTCATGTACGAACTTACCTATCGCTTTGTTTGTTGCGCAAGCAGCGAGGACCAAAAACTTAGGTAAGCGACCGAAGTGGAATGGAAATTGAGTGCATTTATTACTTATTCCTGTTCGTGGAAGTGATTGGTGTAATGCACCGCAGCTACAATGCTGCTGTGTGAGATACCAAACTATTTTGCAGTTCCGCGCACCATTTTGTGCTCGCAAATTTCGAGAAGGGATAGGAACTGTTACCGGGGGCTGTTGGATATAATTTAACGGTCCTTTCTATTTCCCCCACCCCACAGATGATCACCCGGGAAATGTTCGAGGATGCCATCAAGGACCTGCAGGACGATGACGTCATCATGATGGCCGGCCGGCACACGGTGCGCGTGCTCCACTGATGACGTCATCACAGGGACGCCGCCGGCGGGGAGCCGCACCAGGCAGGTCCCGGCAAACTCTGTCCCTGGCTGGGTTCAACGGGGGCTGAGAGCTCACCACCCGTTGTGTGTGTGAGTCTGCCGGGGTGTGTGGTGGCATAGCCGATACTGTCTAAGAAGGCAAAGTTGGAAGAGAGCTGTATGCCGTCCCTCGCTGCCTGAGATAGTTCTGACGGTAGTTTCCAACTAAGCAGTGGTTGGATGATTCATCTGGTTGAAGTGAGAGGCGTTTGGACCGAATCGGCTCAGTCTCCTTTGTGCGTCTTTGTTATCTCCTGTGCTAGTGCTATCTTCCCTGCTCGTAGCTAGCCATTTAGGGCCTGTTCCAGCGCCTCCAGTCAAAGTTCTTTACTGATGGCTCTTCGAGAAAGTTATAAGTTTTTATTGGAGGCACTAGAATGCAAATATCTGAAGATTTCCAATAATTAATGTCTGGGACTCAATCAGCATGATAGCCCCTTCAGAATCGACAGATTTTCAATTTTATTAAAGTATGTTTCAAAATTTATTTAAATGTGATTTTCTTTTCATCTATGTACGACTATAAAATTAGCTCAAAAGACCAAGCTTCCATATTCTGTAAACGATACATTTGCGCCGTTGTTGTAGACCAGAGCCTCCAGTTAATTGTGGACCTCACAACTGACTGGAGGCTGCTGGAGGTTTCTGGTGGCGCTATAACGCTGACTGGATAATTCTGGAGCTTTCTATAGCGTTCAGGTGTTTTCAGGGGGCGCTGGAACAGACCCTTGCTATGCCGGTAGCTAGTTGATCGCTAGTTATGCTATCAGCCGCTGAAGCACGCTAAGCTATCCCATTAGTATGCTCCTGAGTGCCGCTGGCTCTCAACTAGAGTGCTCTCGGCTATTGAGTGCTCTGAAACACAAACCACAGTGGAGTGGAAGGAACCGTACCTGATTGCGTTCAGCTTCGTTGGTACCTCCGAAAGGACGCGTTATAAATGGAGCTGTTTCATTCCACGCAGCAGAGGACAATTTGATGGGTGCGTTATCGACATTTACTGATTTTGGATAATTTTCGATGGAACTCTTGTGACTGATAAGCCGATGAAAACAGTTCTAGCAGTGCCTTGGGAGGATTATTGGTCTACTCCCGATATCGATTCGTTTTTGTACAATAAACTGTTTTTGCTATCTTGTGATTTTATGACAGATATGGGTATGACAAATGAAAATCCTGGGGTGGGTCGACTGGTAGATCAAGGTCTTGTTTGGGAATCAAAATCGTGGAGGATATCGGTTCCACAAAACCGTGAAAACCGGTGTCTCTTTAAGTTTATGTGAATTTCTGATGGCACGTGAAGTCAGGTTGCGGCGTTGTTCGGTGAAGGCGTCCGATAGCTTCTGAGAGCAATTGATACTCTGCAAACGTTTCCGTGCGAATTGTTGCGTGGACAGACGGCTTAGCTCTGGGCTTGCAAGGTGGCATTGTGTTTGTAGAGCTCTTAGAAGCTACTGAAATTTGACTGCCGGTATCAGTTTTGGGCGCTCTGGATAGTGGTATCTAAGCTATTCAGTTGATCGTTCGACGCACCGATCGCAGTAGATTATTATTCGATATTCCCTGGCCGTTCGTGAGCGACAGCTATCTCGTTCTGCGGTGCAAAATTAGTTTTGTGAAGACAAGATTGTTACGAATGAGTCTGATAATGCTATGCCTCGATCGAAGTCTTAGTGTATCGGCGCACAACACGTTTTGTGAGCTGACATACAATGTTTTCAACCGTCATTTACCGAGCTTATCTAGAGTATTTTTTTTTTTTATTAGATATCTCGGTATAGTACACTTGAACTGTCAGCCCATGTGATAAACTTGAAACGGCTGTTAATTGCATTGACATAACTAAGATTTAGACATGTTTTGTATCTCAATTTCCTGCGATTACTGCTGTTGAATTTCGTACCGGACCGTTTCGTGACATCAGACTGAAATGTGGTTCACCGTGTCCTGTCACGTTGGGGAGCGGAGATGAGGTGCTCTCTGGACCTCGACCCCACGCACTAAGCCCTGCTGTCACGTGACGAATTATAACCCCCCTCGACCGCCGCCGCGGCCGTCTTCTGTATCTTATCAGGGCTGGCACTGCCATCGCCGCGTTGAACAGTTCTAGGTCAGTGTCGTGACAGACTGAACTGTGGTTGATCGTGTCCTTCCGGACCCGTCGAGCGTTATTTGGCAGTGGCACAGTAAAACTACCGATCTTGTTGAAGATTGAGAAGCATTGAAAGGCGTGTAGCTTTATTTATGTGCAGCGCGGCTGTTCGTAAGAGCGTTGCCCAGTGAATGCAGACTGCGCTGTTGATAGGTCGCTGGTAACATTATCTCATTTTCTCTACCGTCACCGTAATGCCGCTGCGTCCTCCGCGCGGCTCCGGCGAGCCGCCGCCGTACCGGCGCCAGTCGAGCGCCTCAGCCGCTGATGACGAAGGTCTGGTGAGCGCCGTGCTGAGCCGCAGTCGGCTGCAGACGCTGAAGCTGCTGCAGGACGGCGCCGACCCCAACTGTTGCGTGCCGGTGCCGATGGGGGAGGAGGAGGAGCCACAGCTGCGGTCGGCCCGCCCGGACGGCGGCCCGGAGAGCGGCTCGGCGCGCCGGCCGCTGCCGCTGCTCGGCGAGGAACGCGTCCTGCAGCAGGCCGTCCGGGACGGCTCCGAGCCCCTGGTGCGCATCCTCCTAGAGCACGGCGCGGACGTGAACGCGGCCAACGCGGCCGGCAGCACGGCGCTGCACACGGCGGCGGCCGGCGCCAGCAGCGACGGCGTGCTGCGCGCGCTGCTCGCCGCGCCCGGGGTGCAGCTGGAGGCGCGCGACCGGCTCGGCTGCACGCCCCTGCACCTGGCGGCGGCTGACGGCGCCGCCGGCCGCGTCCGTCTCCTGCTGGAGGCCGGCGCTAGCGTGGCGGCTCGGAACGGCGCCGGCTTCACGCCGCTGGTGGACATCGTGCGCCGCTGCCCCGAGTGTCTGGAGGCGGCCTTCGACCGGTGTCTGGAGCTGCGCGAGCCCGGCGGACCGACCGACCGGCGCGTCGTGTTCGACTATAGCGTGTTCGACCCTCGCCTGCTCGACCCGCCGCCGGACGAGGCCCCGCTGTCGGCGCGCGCCGCTCCCCAGGTGGAGACCCTCCTACTGAACAGCGTACAGGACCGGCGAGCACAGAAGCAGCTGTACCTGCACCCACTCTGCCAGACGTTCCTCAACCTCAAATGGGGCATCGTGTGGCCGTTCTACGTCCTCCACACGGCCATGTTTGCGCTCTTCGTCGCCTGCTTCAACGTGTTCGTCGTGGTCGTCATCAAGAGACCTGACTTTGACCTCACACCGACCGACGCATCCTCTCCAACTTCAGCCCCAACCGTCTCGCCAACCTCCGCAACCCCGATGGTTGGCTCCAACCTCACAGCTTCTTCCTCGTCTCCTTACGCTTCCGTCGGCTCCACCGAGTCCAGCGAGCGCTGGGAGGTGGCCATGCTGTCCCTGACCGTGCTGGCCGTCATCATGCTGCTGATCCGGGAGCTGCAGCGTCTGTTCGTCATCGGACCTCGCGCCTACCTCAGAGCTACCGAGAACGTGGTGGTGTGGCTCTGCTGCGCGGGCGCCGTGGCCTGTCTGGTGGCCGCCTACCACTCGCCGGCGCTGTTCCGACAGCTGAGCGCTGCCACGCTGCTCGTCTCCTGGGCCGAGCTGCTGTACCTGTTCGGCCTCTCCGAGCTCGCGTCCATCCACGTGATGACGTTGGTGACGCTGGTTCGCACCATGGCGCTCTTCATGATGGTGTACGCGCTGGTGATGTTGGCATTTGCCAGCTGTTTCCTGGTGCTGTTTCAGGGTCAGGAGGAATTCGGGAGCCCGGCTGAGACGTACATCGCCACTCTTGTGATGTCAATCGGCGAGCTGAACTACGCTCCCGAGCGGTTGCGTGGCTCGGGGTTCGGCTACGTGGCCTACCTGTTCTTCATCTTCTTCGTTCTCATCATCACAATGAACGCCATGATCGGTCTGGCCGTGAACGACACGCGTCATATTGAGCAGCGCGCGAACGTGCGTCTGCACACCAAACACCTCGAGTACGTGCACCTGTTCGAGCAGCACCTGCAGGGCGGCTGCCGGCGGCTGTGGCTGCTGCTGCCGCGTGCCGAGCTCAGCCTGCTGACGCGCCTGCCGCCGCACGGACTCGAGGTGCGGCTGGGCGGCCGGCGCCAGGCGCGCTCGCTGCTACACCGCCTGCTCGGCGCCCTACGGCGCGTGCCCGTCCGCGAGGCGGAGCTGCTGCGGCTGGCGCGGTGGCTCAAGGACCGTCCGCGCCTGCTGGCGGCCGCCGCCGGTGTGGTGCTGGCCCGCAGGAGGCTGGAGGCCGAGCGGCAGCCGTCGCGGAGGACGGAGCCGCTGCCGGAGGAGCCGAACCCTGAGGAGGAGGAGGAGGAGGGGCGCGAGTGGGAGGAGCTGCGCAGGAACACGCTCGAGCTCAAGTGTGATGTCGGCGAGCTGCGCGCGGAAGTAGCCCGGATTGGGAGGAGTGTGCAGCTGGTTCTCGATATGCTGGATCAGGCGAGGGCCAGTGAGGACAAGTAGCGACTTTATTTACCTCAATCAACAACAATCCATCGCAATAAAAGTTAAAACCACCTGGAATGTAAGGCGATTTGGCATGTAAAGTGGAGCAGAGGGGCTTACCTGTAACGTAAATAGCCAGCTCTTCTATTACCGCCGTGGGACAGATTGGCACGTAATGCTACCAGTTGGTGTGCTGAGGTCAGCACCGATTCCAGAAGCTGTTGAAAAGTGCGCTATGTGGATACGTCACATTGTTAAATGCACGCATGTCACCGTACATTTTGTTTTGATTATATCAATCTGCTGACTATGCCAATTCAAACACCCTGGCGGAAGAAGGCATTATCGAGATTTTATCGCCTTGATCGAGATATTACCGCTTGCAGGTGCTGCCATCTGTGTCTCGTGTTGCAACAATCTGCCGCTATAGCCTTGCTGCCGCTGTAGTTGGTACTTGGTCTGCTACTCAGCGCCATCTACGCCGCTCTACATGGCCACACAGACATAAGCGCGACACGACAGTCCGTTAAACGTCGATTATTGCTAATTTGTCGCTTTTTCTTCACTTTTACATGGCTCTGTTAGCATTTTACCCTTTATTTTGTCACTGTTTTAGATGCATACACCAGTATAACGCCTTTTGGGGCGACAAACGGAGCGAGCGAGAGGGTGAGCCTTGCACGTGCGAAATTGCGAGGGGTACCTCCAACTGACTTGTGCACGACACCCTACTAACCGGTCTCTAGCGATGTGCCAAATTTGAGCGCAATCGGCCCAGCCGTTCTCGAGATCTGGAAGCGGCACGCTGCACGTGCGCACGTGCAAAATGGGTCCCAACTGACTTTTGCACGGCACCCTACTAACCGGTCCCCAACTGATTACCAAATTTGAGCGCAATTGGTCGTGCCGTTCTCGAGATCTGGAAACGACCCCTGCACGTGCGCACGTGCAGCAGCACCCCAACTCTGGCACATGGATATGCAGTGCCTAGTGGGTGCCTACCTACATGCCAACTTTCAGCGCAATCGGCCAAGTAGTTACCGAGATATTGCAACAATTACAAAACTGACACCTCTTCGTTTTGCACGTGGCAGTGTGGCACGTGCATAAGGGGTCACCCACATGCATCGGGAATAGTCCAATACTTGGTAGAAGGAATGAAGCTACCCTACAAAAATTACCGCATGTAAATCGGTCAAGTGGTTGCTGAGATATAAGCGTCGCAGAATCGTGACCACGGCCGGCCGGCCGCTCATACTCAGAAATTTCCGTTAATATAAGGAAAGACTACGCTCGCTTCGCTCGCTCCGTAATAAACTAGTACTGCCTCACTGTATATGGAAACGGCTCCCAGAAAAACTTCGACCGACTCCAAAAAATTCTAAACTTTGCAGCACGGGTCATATTCGGCCGCCGGAAATTCGATCACGTCTCTGGCCTCCGCGATTCACTCGGATGGATGCCTCCGAAAGCTATGGCCGATGTTAAAACCATGGTAACTGCGCAGAAAATAATAAGCAACGGCGAGCCCGAAGCACTAGCTGCCATCTTCACGAATAACAGTGACGCGCGAGAGAGATCCACACGACAGGACCACCTTTTCCACCTTCCACGCTCGCGGCTCGAGACTGGCAAGCGACGGTTCGCCTACCGGGCCGCGGCGCTACTCAACAGTCTGCCTCCCGGTGTCATCGAACAGCGCCCCGCCCAATTCGCCCGTGCGGCCAAGGCTGCAGTCTGTCCGGCGATGACGACCGCCCGACGATGACCCGTGTCAGGGGAAGGAGGTGCGACATCCGTGTGCGGTGTGCTGTCTTGAATCGTCCGTTTGTATATAGAGAGAGCGAATGTCCAGCGATTGAATTTGTATGCCTGTGTTTCTTGTCCCCGCATGTTTTTGTTTGTGCCCGACTCAGACTCTGGACTGTAATCGCCACGCCCCGCGTGGATTGTCCATGAAGGTAATACATACATACAACTTTGTTCTTATTCCACTCTCCCCGTTCCTTTTTTGTCAGTTTTGACTTTTGACCAAAAATACCTAAATAACAATCGGCATAGGTTCGAAACAACTGATTCGTTGCAACTGCACATTCGGAGTTGTAACCGCTATCGGAGGAAGTGATATAAGATAAACTGCTAACCTCACCTTTATTTACATTCGAACTCTTCCTTCGCCCTTGGTCCTGTTCTGGCCAGAAGTTTCCGCCGCTCGGCCAGTTTCTGTCCATCGATTACCGGTGAGGTCGGCCGGGTCACGTCTGACCCTGGTTGGGGCGCGGAGCGGCAGGCAGTGCCATGTTGCATCAGCCGATCAATAGAGCTCGCCCACCGATATACCCGCCGTGGTGGGAACGCCTCCTTCCGACCCAGTGATCATCAACGCTGAAAGGAAATATAACGCTTTCCTCAAAATATTTTTTTGCTACAGTTAAATGATTTTTTTACGCTTAAAATGATCAGAAAAGAAAATGATTGATATTTACAGAAGGGATTTTCACTTCATATAAGAATAACTTGAAAATGCACCTTTCAAAGCACAGCTATGGTGCTCTGATTTCCCCAAGATTGCTGGTGCTGCGCGCGTATGTTGTGTGCACCATGAAGATTCTTAGGAAAAGCATTTGGCCGTTTTTCGTTTGTCGGTGGTCTGGCGAGCAATACGTCGGCCACTGGCCGAACTGTTGCCTGCAGGCTCCGACTGCTCCGGGGTCGTACCCCCCCCCCCCCTCGGCCGGCGTGTATGTAGAAAACCAATAGGTCCGGCGAGGGTTAAAGGGACCCTCCCACCTTCAAAAAAGTTAATGAATTGGCATGAAAGTGATGTCCCTTGGTTCAGAAAGAGCGAAAACGAATATCTACCAAATTTCACCGAAAAATATTCACTGGTTTTCAAGACATTAGGCTTTTACTTTTGTTTACTTTTTGTGATCTCCCCTGTTACTAGCGACTTTATTTGGAAGCAATAATTTGGCAGCCTTAAAGTGCGGCAGACGTTGCGCGCAAAGCAGCGTATACCACCACGTGTTAACGATGGTTTTAGTCTAAAGGCCTGGCTACACTATGCGTTTTCTTCGTGCGTTTTTTGCGTGTTTGCGTGTTTTGCGTGATATCGTTCTAGAAAAAAAGAACGATATTACGTTTTGTGATGTTTTTCACCTTAAATTTTAGTTACATAAGAGTTATATTAGCTTTTGTATATAACCAAAGTAAAAATTATATTGTTTATAACTTTTTTCCTAGAACGGTATTACGCAAAACACGCAAACCTGCAAAAACGCACGCAGAAAACGCATAGTGTAGCCAGGCCTTAAGATTTAAAAATCGTTAAATCTCCGCTGACGTCACAAATTCTAAGGGGGCATTCCAATGCATTAGCCCCTTAGAATCCGAAAACTGCAAGTTTGAAATTCCATATCTTCGAATTAAAGCATTTTTCGATGTTGTGAGTGCCCAAACCGGTATTTGCAGGCCATGGCCACCAATTTGGCTATCTCAACTCAAAACTAATGTTAAGATGGGAGTGTCCCTTTAAAGTTGGTGACTTCGGATCTCGGTGACTCTATGACTTCGGTAATGCACCTACATCGCCTTTTTCAAGGGCATGCGCCATGCATTTATTATCATCACATTACATCACCATATCCACCGCCATCCGCTTAAACTGTTGTTGATTTATTACTTTAGCATAAGAAGTCGTTTTTTATTATGTGAATCATCTACCCCTTGCCTTGCTACACCAGCGAGCCGTTGCCTCTGGTCAGGCCGTCACAGGTTCTCCGTTCGCAGTAGAATCGCCACTGACCGGCCTCCCGTGGTTCGAAGACGTGAGTCGAGGCCGGTCAAATGGAGCTGAGCCTCTCCACTGTCGCGATGATGACATCAGGTCACCACGGGCAGGGCTCTGCACAGCAGACCGCAGCGAGTGCAGAGGAGGAATGCACACAGGACGAATCGAGGACAGGCTGATAGACACGTTCGACATTGTTCGACCTGAGGACGTGACATTGCGAAATCTATCCAGAACACTGGTGTAAGCACATTGGTGACCATGGGATGACATGGACGTGATTCATGTTGCTTTGAGGTGGTCACGAAGCTTGAATTGCTAATTTTCCTGCCATGGTTTGATTAGACAACCTACTAATGTTTGCGAATACGTGAGCTGTTCACTTCTTGAGCATATAGCGTCGTTTTGCGTTTTCTTGTTCAAGGTTATGTTTTGAAATGATTTGCCATGCAGTTGCAGTCGAATATATGTGCTTCCATGTAGTTGTGTTGGTAAATTAACCCGCGACCCGTTGGGAGAGGGGGGGGGGGGGTTAAGGCTCCTCTCCTGTGGTTTTCGCAGATAACTTAGAAACGGCTGCGAATTTTAACTTGAAACTTTCAGTACCTCTCCGCACATCAATTCTACACATTTACTGAAAAGATGGTCCCAGGACCCAGGTCATCTCAGGTAGCGGGTTATAGAGGTCAAACTGAGGTCATGTTCGGCCATTTTTCGTCGAAAGAAAAAGTTCACGGAGAAAAACCGCAGGAAATCAGACTTTGAACCTAGAGACTCAAAAATTGAACCATAGGTACAGTAGGTCTACAATAATAAGTCCCCGCCGTCCGCGGGTCACCAGTGGGCAGCTAGCGCCTGAGCGCTACTCGGGCGCCACCCTGCCCGCATACGGAGAAGACTTATTTTGTAGACCTACTGTACCTGCAAAAAAGGATGGCGAACAAAATGCCCATCTCAAATTTTCCGAAATATTAAATTATCAAGATCTAGATATTTTCATCTCAATTCAGATTTCTTGAGATATTTGTGAAATTTGGTGAAGTAAAAAACGGAATATATGTCAGAGAACCCGTTATTGGCCTTACACTTGCCAAAAATCAACAAAATATCTAAACTGGCAGAGATACAGCCATTTGAATGACTTAAAAATAGCGGCTGTTCTTATGACGTCATATTATTTTCAGTATTTGTACTTGAAATCAGCCAATTGTAGGTACCTAATATGTATGATACTTATCCACCTTTTCCTGACTGAATATAAGATAAAAGTCGCTTTTACGCAATAGAATGTTTTCCATTATAAACCCTATAATTGGCCATTTTTTTACCTTTCTGTAACGTCATAGTTCCAAGAAGAATGGTCAAGGGAGTTTCTGTGGCTGCATATATATGACATGACATATTTCAATTCAGCATGCCGTTCCCTACGATTCACGCAAGTGTCTTTTGATTGGTCGAAACTGACCTCTCTTGTGACGTCA